TGGCTGCTGCAGTTGCCCACTGCCACAGTCTCAGGTTTTTATAGGACCTGCTTTCCCACTTGTCTGTAGCTGAGAATCCCAAATTAAGACTACAAGTTCAGTTGGGTTTTATCTGAGAAAATGCAGCCAGTTTTAATCAACTGATTTAATGCTCCTCAGAGAGCACTACTGCTCTGCTGTCAAAACGGTTCTCACACAGTTTTAGAGTTTGATGGTGACACCGAGATGACCTAATCTGGCCCAGAGAGTGCCAGATTGCCCAGCAAGCCTCATCAGTCCCACCTCTGCCAGGGATCTGGCCTAGGCCCACATGTGTCCCCTGTGGAGGCCTGGGGAGCGGGTGTTCTGGTGACTGTCTTGGCTCTTGTTGTTCAGGGGTCCTGGGTGTCCTCAGTCAGCCGCTTTTCTCCTCAGTACCTTGAGCAAAGGTTCTCCTGTCTTGCTCTCTGGTCCACAGCCCTGTGCAGCTGTTGTGTCGGTCAGTGACCTAAGCCACAGCCCCTCCTCAGCTTTGTCCCCACCACGTCTTTCACACAAATGAGAATAAAACCATCTGGAGCTGCTTTCCCAGTGCAGGAAACGTGGCAGGCTCAGCCCCGGCTCCTGGGTGGGATGCACGTGGGGTCTCAGGTCGTCAGGAGCCATCTCCCCAGCGGGGTGGGATGTGAGAAGTGTGTGTCCCCAGTGCAGTCTAGGATCTCGCAGTTGCTGGGCCTTGCTAATGGATTCCATTTCTTTCTGCCTGAGTATTCCAATGCCAAGCAGCTTTCAGCTCTGCACTGCGAGGTGGCCTGTGAATGTGCTTGGCCTTACGCACAGAGCCACTGGTGTCCAGCCCTGGCTATGACTGTTGCCGGACTATACTGGGCTCAGAGCCGGTCAGACACACTGTGCCCCCTTCTCATCACCATTCCCTGAACTTGTACACTTATTTCTGACTCCTGAAATTGAAGCTTTTATTTGATTAAATGCAAGGCATCCATACAGAGTTTAATTGCAGTAATTGACTTTGCTTCTGTCTCAACAGAGTAGATACCTCCCTCAATGCAGCCGAGGACCGTTTGCCTACAATCTGGGTTTATTGAGCATATGGGAGCTATTTATTGCCTGGGGTGGGAGCTGTGTTTGATTATCTCCTGATTGCCTCTTAATTGTCAGCAGGGAGGGGCTGCTGTACAGAGTGCCAGTCTGGGGGTGGGGTGCCGTTCAGGCCTTTGAAGATAAAAGGAGCTCTTTAGGCCCTTTGTTCAGCTTAAATTTTTCCATTCTTGTTTTGGTCCTTTATTAAAGACAGAAAATGCCCTTTTGCCTGCCAGCATGCCGTCCCACTAGTCTAAATAAAAAAGGTTGGGTCCTTGAGTCTTGTGAAGTTACCAGAGGATGCTGTTGTTGCAGAATGAAACCCAGCAAACCATCCCCACGTGGTTTCTGCAGGAAAGTGTTTCTCAAGGAGGGGCAAGTAGGGATGAAGGCACCTGCACACCTGTGGGCCGGGGGCCTACCGAAGCCAGGTAGACCTTCAGCATCATCTCAGGGTCTCATGAGGACCTGTGCAGGAGATGCCATCCTTACACCTTCATGGATGGGGAAGCTGGTCCTGGAGAGATGGAGCCAAAGGCTGGGCCCAGAGCCTGGTGCAGCCCAGCCTGCTGTGTGGTCACTGTGTGGCTTCACACAAATGGTGGCCTTGGAAGACCTGCCTCCTCCTGATGAGGAGTGAGGGGGAAGGTCTGCTGTCCCAGCCGTGGCAGAGCGGGGCCCGAGCCAGGCAGCCCCTGTGGTCCGGCTGCTTCTCTCCCCATCCTGTTCTCTTTAAGCCCTGCCGGCTGCTCTGGGCACAGCAGTTGCACTCCCTCTCATTCAACAAGTGTTTGTTAAAGACCTACTGTGTGCTGGGTACCCAGCAAGCAATCAGGCATGGCTGGATACTGGGGTATCTGCTGGTGCTAGAGCCACAGAACTGGAGAAGCTGGGAGGCACTGGGACCACCAAGCTTTCGTCCCTGGTGAAGGCCAGGAGTGGTGGGAGCTTCAGGGCTGCAATCAAGGCTTGAGGCAAGGCATGAGAGGGGCCAGCAGAGAAGACTGGCTCCTGCAGAAGCAGCAAGATACCAGGGAGGGCAGGTGAAGGCTGGGGAGTGTAACGGGACGCCAGGTGAAGCTACGGCCAAGTCCAGGGACTCTGGGAACTGGCTGGGAGGTGCTAGGTCCGGTTCAGTTGCACCTACTGGTCCTGCAATGGATTCTGGGTCTGGAGCCATCAAGGGGGTGAAAGTCTGTTTTAAATGGCATCTGGGGGCGTCAGTGAGCCAGTAGTGCCAAACACTTTGCCTGAGGGTGAGTGTGCAGGACAAGGCCGCCCCAGCCTGCAGAGGAGCTGCCTGAGCACTCACTGTGACAAAGGGGCCAAGGGAGCCCTAGGAAGTCGGGAGTACTCTTGAGGGGACAGAGCCTCTGCCATGTCAACACGATAGGGGTGCTCCCGTGATGGGTGAAGGGACACTGTTGCTGAGGAGCCTGGCTGGCTCTGTCCAGGAACAGGAAGGGAGGTGAGGGAAGTCATGCAGAAATCTAGAGTCCTAGAAGCCCCACTGTGGACATCTCAGAACTTGACCTCAGGGACCTCCCTACAGACCCCTGCCCTAGTCCTACTCCAGTACCAGGTACCCATCACACTCTCCAGACCTTCACCTGCAGTAGGGCCCACACAGCACCCTACTGTGACCTGCAGGATCTAGGCTGTCACCTCTGGTCACCTGCTCAGCTCCCTTTGTCCAGCTTACTCAGGCTAAACCAGCCCCTGGCCTCCGCTCCTCCTCTCCCTCAGTTTCCATGTGGCCAGCTCTGTCCTCACACAGATCTCTTTACCTAACCTTGCCTGCATGTATCCGAGCAGAGGAGAGGCAGAGAACAGCACAGCTGGGAGGTTTCTGGTGATGCCTCCATGGAGAGTCATCACGCAACAGTGAGGTGGAGCCTGCAGGGTGTGGGCTGCTTCCCTAGGCATGGCAGAGTGTTGCTGGAGAAGGGGCTGTCCTCCTGGATCCCGCCCTCCAGATGCCTGGGCGTAAGCCTCGGCCCAGCTTGTTAATGAGTGAGCAGAGCAAGCACCTTTCCTAGACTGCCATTCCTGTCCCTGTGGTCTTACCTCCATGACTGCAGGGGGCTGGAAGAGGGGAGGGAGGGCAAGGGACCAAGCAGAAGGTGAAGCTGGGAAAGCAAGCAGGGCCTTCCAGAACCTTTATGGCCAGCTGCGGGCTGATATGCTTGGCAGGCAATGCTGGGTGCCCAGCCACATGCCATGTCAAGTATTTAGCTCAGCTAGTCCCCAGCAGGAAGGGAGAGCCAGTGGAGCTGGCCCAGGGACATCTGTCCTCCCTATGTCCTCCTTCAGTGTCCAGGTGCAACTCATCCTGTGGAGGGGCTGTGAGCAATGCCGGGGCATGCTGAGCACTCTCCCCACTAAGGAAGGGGGCTGCCCTCTGTGTCACATCTGCAGGCAGTGTCTGTGGCCCCTGCAGAGAAACTGGGACAGAGGGTGACATCAGCAGCTCCCAGGCCATCACTTGCACCTTTTGTCCCATGTCCTCAGCCACAGGCCTGCCTCCATTTGTTTTCTAGAAAAGGAAGTCAATAGCCATGGTTTGGACACAGTAAAGTGAAGAAGGAAAGAAAGGGCCAGGTCTCACGGCCCCACAGGCTGCTCCACGCATTAAGGCACCGTGCAAGATCAGGAGGATGCCCATTCTGCCACAGAGGGGAAGGCACCCCATGGACTGCAGGGTTGAAGCAACCCTGGGTGATAGGTCAGCGATGCTGAAGGGGGGCTCGGAGGAGTCTGGGCACCTATAGCCGTGCATGGTGCTGTGCTGTCCCAGTGCCAAGCCAGATGGCCCCTGGCCTGAGCCTGCACAGTTCTTCTCAGGAGGGGTTGGCCTTGGCTCCACAGTCACGGAGGGAATCGCTGTTGCTGTGGCTTCCCTACAAGTCTAAACTTGTCCTATGGGCTCATAGTTCATAAGAATCAACAAAATTACACCCAGATCACACCCAGGCCAAGCTCAAACCCTGACCTGTGTGGCTTCAGCCCCAAGTTCTCCTGTCCCTTTGTGCTCTTGGGTCCTTCAGAAGCAGTAAGGAAGAGAGAGACCTGGCGAAGAGCCTTACATAAGAGCAGCCAGCCTGCTTCCAGACACCAAGTCCCCGTTCCCCTGATTATATAAGAGGATGTGTTTATGCAGCCACATAAATCACCCTGCAATGGGCTTGTGTGCCTGAGCCATGGAATTATTGAAGAATGGAACACAGGGCTGGCTTGAAGCTGGGAGAGGGTGTGGGCATCTGCTTAGTGGGGTCACAGCCTGTGCTCTCCAGACAGACCAGGGTGCACTGCCAAGGACATGCAGCTGTGAATGTGCTGAGCTGAGTCCTGACACCCCCAGAGCCTGGTGAGAATAGCCAAGTCTACCATGGGCACAATCCCCTTTTACCTCAAATAAGCACCACCTGTCCTGTCCTGAAGGACCATCAGCACACTCCTGGCCACCCAGGGCCCAGGCCCAACAATTCAGACCGTGCCAGTGGTAGCCAGGGCCACAGTCCTACTGCAAGGTTTGGGGCAGGTTGACACTGCCAAGGCTCCTGTGACGGAGGTCCACAGCCAGGCTGCCTGGCCCCAGCTCCACCACAAGGGCACTGCAGCCTGGAGCAGGCAGATTGTGTGCCACAGAGGGTCACATCAGAGTTGGGAGCCACCGTGGAGGGCCAGTACCACTGTATTTTTTTGTTTCACTTAGAAGAAAGCAGACAGGCCAGAGTCAGAGTACAGCAGTCCCAGTGGTGCCTGCGCTGGGGCCGACAGGACAAGCCCAGCACAGCCTCCCAGCTTCCAGGCCTCTCCCCAGAACCATCTGCAAGGGTCTGGTAGTTCCTCTGCCTGTGGGACCCCTCGCCAGAGGCTACACACTAACGCTGTTGATGCTCCCTCTGTTCTCTCCCCAGGCAGGCCTGGGACCTTGCTGTGGACATTTGTCTCTCCCAGTTGCCCACGATCATTGAGGAAGGCACTGCCTTCAGGGTGAGTCCCTCCAGGGCGACCTGGGCATCTGCTGTGATTGTTGCTTCCTGGGCACCTGCTCCATAAAAACCTCAGTCTGTGTGGGTGTCAGAGATTTGGTTCACCCACCTGGGAAAAAAATATACTGACCAAAGTTTACAAGACTGGGTCAACCCAGGGTTAAAATTAATTTTTTTTTAATTGTCGATGGACACAATGCCTTTATTTTATTTATTTATTTATTAAATATGGTGCTGAGGATTGAACCTAGTACCTCACACATGCTAGGCAAGTGCACTACCATTGAGCCACAACCCCAACCCATAAAGTTAGATTTTGAAGTGGTCACCTTTTAAAAACTTACTCCGGGGGCTATTGCAGGAGGATTGCAAGTTTCAGGCCAGCCTCAGCAACTTAGTGAGACCCTGTCTCAAAACAAAAAATAAAAAAGATTGGTGATATGACTCAGTGGTAGAACACCCCTAGGTTCAACCCCAGTACCTCCAAGAAAAGAAAACGCAGATCTTAGTGTAAAGCATTGCTCTGAAGAGTCTGCTCTTCTTCATGCAGATGGCCTCCTCCCCAGAGCAGCCCTCATTTCATCCTCTGCCCTCTCAGCAGGGTGAGTTGTGCTTTCCCTAAGCCTGGGGCAGAGGGGCTCACACATGGAAGCCTCTGAGGGCTGCCTCCCATCACACAGGCATCCCAACCCCAAGCCACACTGCAGGTGGCAGAAGCCTAGTCTCTCTGGCTCTGCATAAGTTGCAGCTGGCTTCACTCACAGAACTTGCCTGCAAGTGAATTGGACATGATACCAGGGTCCTCACTGCAATACCCAGAGGCCCACTTGGTTTTGCCTTTGTGATGTGAGGCATCAAGTTTGAATAACCCTGTCCCTATCCTCAAGAATCTGTGAGAAGAAAAGAGGTGCCATGTCAAGTCCGGGCTCAAGGGAGAAAGCAGGAGGCCACCGTAGGTACCCAGGGGCCCAGCAACAGAGGCCTGGGTAGGGGCTGGCAGAGGTGATCACATTGGGTGATCACATGCTCAGGCCATCCATGAAGCTGAGATGACATAGGGGAGTATGAGGCTGGGTCAACAAGACTGAGTCTTCTCCTGCCACCTGAGAAACTGTTGGGCATCATAGCCAAGAGCCTGGCACCATCACCATGGGCCAGTTAGACAACCTCCCTGTACCTCAGTGTCCTCATTCAATCCAAAGGGCCTAGAGCATTAAAATGAGTTTGTATACCCAAAGGGCTTAGGATGGGACCCTGGCATGTTCACAGTCAGATCGCTGCTCACAAACACCAGTGGCCAGAGTGTCTCACCCTCAAATCAGGCAGGAGGCACCAGTGGCCAGGGAGAGCTCAGCTCACCACCAAGGTACTGTAACCTTTAATACTTGTCACCATGGCCTGGAGGCCTGGGCCTGTGGTATATGTGAACATGCACGCATGTATGGCATGCTCAGAGGCATGCATGTGGGGTGTGTTAAATCGCCAGATGCACTTTTTTTTATATTTCTTTTATTGTTGCATTATAATTGTACATAATGGTGAGGTTTGTTGTTGAATGTTTCCACATGCACACAATATGATGATATAATTTGGCCAGTATCACTCCCCTGCCCTTCCCTGCCATACTCCTTTCCTCTATTCTACCGATCTCCCTTTGATTTTCCTGAGAACACCACACCACCACCACCACCACCTTTCTTTTCGCTTTTCCTCCCTAGAGTTCACATATGAGAGAAAATATATGACCTTCTGAGATTTGATTCACCCACTGGGAACCAGGGTGCTTAACATAACGTTCTCCAATTCCATCCATTTTCCTGTAAATAACCTAATTTCATTCTTCTTTGTGGCTGAATAAAACTTTGTTGTGTATATATGCCATATTTTCTTTATCCATTTATTCCTACTCAGGCTTGTTCTCAGTCTTGATTCATGTGGTACATCATTGCTATCTTTTCACTTTTAGACTGTAGCTAAAATCTTAGTCTCTTGCAAACAACATTAGGTCTTGTTTTTTAATCTATTCTGCCAGGCAGTGTCTTTTAGTTGGAGAGTTGAACACTGATGTTCAATATTTTTATAGGCAGAAGTTTATTCCTGCCATTTTAGTTTATTTCTAATGTTTAGTAAAATAAACATTTCTCATCTGCATGGCTACTCTTCAATGGAAATTTGTCCATTTGTGAGCTCTGGAGTTTGTTTTTATTTCTTCTTTAAGTTCTGTAGCACTGGCTTAGGAGTGAGGAATTCTTTCGGTTTCTGCTTAACTTGGAAGAGCTTTATTTCTTCTTCGATTTTGAAGGATAGTTTTGCTGGATATAGTAGTCTTGGTTAACAGTTATTTTCTTTCAGGATTTAGAACACATCATTCCAAGCCCTCCTGGATCATATTAGAGTTTGTGCTGAGAGATCAGAAGTGGTTCTGATTGGCTCGCCTCTAAATGTGTCCTGATTTGTGTTTTTTTTCTTGAGGCTTTTAAAATTGCATTTTAATTATAATGTGTCATGGAGAGAGGTTTTTGTTTGTTTCTTTGTTCTAATCTTGTCTGTCTATTTGAGGTTCTGCATGCATTCTATATCTGGATGTTCATTTTATTCTCAAGGTTTGGGAATTTTTATATTATTTCCTGGGGAAGTTATCTATGCTATTAGCCTGCATCTCACAATGCTTTTCCATTTTGTTGATTCTTCTTACATTTGGTCTCTTAATGTCCCAGAATTCTTGTATAGTCTGATCATGGTTACTTATTTTCCTTTCTTTGGAACTGTGTGATGTTCAAGGCTGGCCACTTTGTCTTCCAGTTCTAAGACTCTGTCTTCAGCATGGTCTACTGTATTAAAGAGACTTTCAACTGAACATTTTATTTGATTTATTGTGTCTTTTGTTTTCAAGATTTCTATTTGGTTCTTTGTCAATATCTCCATCTCCTTATTAAGTTTCTCATTCATATCCTGTAATGACTTCTTGATTCATTCAGTTGTTTTCCTATAATCTCTTAGAATTCATTGATTAGTTTTATAATCATCATTTTGAGTTCTTTATCTGGTATTTCATCCATTTTGGTATCTTTGGGTTCAGTTGCTGATAAATTATGAACTTTAGGAGGTATCATGTTACCTTGTTTTTTATATTTCTTGTATTCCTGTGTTGGGTTTTATGCATCTGTTGGGATGGATTTATCTTCCACTCTCATGTGTGAGCCTTTTTATGGCATGGCCTTCTCTTGCCAAAGTGTGTTAGAGTGATATAGATTAAAATCCCTCATTGTGCCAGGTATGCCTATAATCCCAGCAGCTCAGGCGGCTGAGGCAACATGATTGTGAGTTTAAAGCCAGCCTCGGCAACTTAGTGAGATCCTGTCTCTAATAAAATATAAAAAAGGGTTGAGAATGTGGGTCAGTGATCAAGCACTCCTGTGTGGGGTCATTGTGTGGGGTCAACAGCCTTTGTGTAATTCTGTTTTTGCTCTTGGCGTGGATGTCTGTGAGTAGGACCAATGGGCACCCTGTAGCTCTTCCTGCTTGGGGCCTGACTATTAGTTTGGGTATTTGTCTCTTCTCTGATTTGTATTAAAGTATAGCTGAAGTTTCAGAGTGGCCAATTTGTGTGCGGAGCAAAGTGTGCTATCTTTTGGCTGAGTTTAGGTCAACAACAGAGTCTCTACCCTGTGAACTTGTGGTGTCCCTGTAGGTTCCCAGCACCTCACAGAAGAGGGCAAAACAAACAATAGCAAATATCAATGCTAATAATATACAGCATTAAAATAACTATCCTGTGTCTACTGTGACCTCTACAGCACTAATTATCATGAAAACAGGAAGGTGGGGTCAGCAGTTGCCAAGAGCAAAATAGCAAATAACCATGAACTCATCTGGCATTGAAGAAACAGCAGGTCCCAACTCTGCCGTCCACAGTACTAATAACCACACCGTGAATAGTGGGGGCAGGAGTGTGTAAACAGAACAGTTCTAAAAGATGGTAGAACACAGTTCATTAAGAGAAAAGAAAACGTGATGGGGAGGTAGCAGAAAGTTTAGAAGGTTCAATGTGAACAGAGAAAGCAGAAGAGCGACAGCTAGTGACGGCTGTAAATGAGGAGAAAAACTAAAATGAGTAAAGGGGAGAAAAGGACAAGAGATCTGACTGTTAGAGGGACAAGAAAGGAGAGAAACAGAAACACACCAAAATAAACAACAGGAAAAAAAAAGAAAAAAGGATTCTTAATGAAAACTGAAAGAATTGTCCCTACGGAGCTTGCCGACGCTGTCGATGACATGGATGGTCACTGCGTTTGCCAACGGTCTTTTTTCCCATTTCTTCTTGGCTCCTAGAAGTGGTTCTCCCACAGCTTGAATCCCAAGCCACCCAGCAACAGATGCAGTCTTCCTCTAACTGCCATCTTAAATCCACCCACTCTCCTCCCCGGTGGTCTCGGTGCACCCCAAGACTGGAACGACCAGGTGCCCCGAGGGGCAAAGGTGCAACTTGCGCAGTCAGGGGAAGAAATAAAGAAGGTCCACATGCTCCTGCCCTTTTCAGTGCTTTACACTCAAATCACTCAGTCCAATTCCACTCTATAGGTTCTTTTTTTGTTTTGTAATTGTAGATGAACACAATACCTTTATTTTGTTTATTTATTTTTATGTGGTGCTGAGGATGAAACCCAGTGCCTTACAAGTGCAAGGCAAGTGCTCTATCACTCAGCCCCAGCCCCTCTATAGGTTCTTAATCAAGAAAAGTGACAATCCTTAATGCTGGGCACTGCAATAGACAGAATCAATCCAGAGCAAGCAATTCTAAGTTAATTCTGTGCACTGCAAACACACTTAATCATGACAGACTCGTGACAGACATTCCCTCTGCATGCCAGCTCAAGTGCCAGATCTAAGTCCAGCAGATGCGCGGTCACTCAGGCCGCAGTGATCAGGTCAGGAAGCAGTGGAGGCAGGCTTCTCCTGGGGTGGAGCTGACGGCCAGCTGAGGAGAGGGTCCTAAGGAGAAGTTGCTGTTCTCACCAGGGTCCCGATGTGGCCGTAGAGTTTGAGAGCGGTGAGGACGATGCAGAGGAGCAGGCCAACAGCGAGAAGAGTTGGGGTGTCAGTCAGGTCCTCCTGGGGCTCTCCGGCATGTGGGCATCGCGTCGGCTGGCTGAGTGTGTTCATTTGCTCCACCATTTATGCTAAATTTCGGGGTTTCTACTCGCCCTTTCAATCCCTATTAGCCGTTACCAGATTTCTCGGTGACATCTTGCATTCTGGGGTCAAGCCATCTGGTCTGGTGGTTTCCACCCTTATCTCTCACCTCTGCCTTTATCAAGGTGAAGGCAAATGACAGTGACTTCACTCTGAGTTTTATCAGGGTTGTGGGAGAGTGACTTATTTTATCAGGCTGTGCCTGATGTCAATATTGGAGGGCTCCACAGGTATGCCTGGTAGGGACTTGCAGTTTTATTTTAAAGTGGAGTTACTTAGGCCAAGGCCCTTCTTAGATTAAGGCCATCCTTACACTGAGTCAAGGGCCTTTGAAGAGGACCTCCCTGACCTTTTTGTCTTAGATTGCTCCCCCGTTTTTTTTTTTTTTTGGTAACATTTTATTGTAAAAAGTTTCAAGATGGAGCAAAGTTGGAAGAACTCTGTAGCAAGCATCCACCTCCACCTCCAAGTCCACCCACACTGCCCTCTCACACATGTTTCTGCCTGTCTACCGCCTTCTGCAGTGAGCACCCACCCCCACCACCGAGTCCACCCACGCTGCCCTCACGTATCCATCTGCCTCTGGGCTGCAGTTGGTACATCTTTTCACGTACTGCAAACTGCCCTGAGCCCTGGCTGCTCCATGCCCTTGGCTCCCCTGTGTGCCGGGTGTATGCCTATAGGCTCTCAAACAAAGGCTTGCCTGCCCACCTTCCACAGGTCTGGGCAGGGACAACATCTTGTCATAGTCACGAGCCTCCCCTAGAGGCTGCCCCACCACTTCCCCACCCTCCAGCCCAGCCAGAGCAGCCTGAGGACCTCAGCTCCTGCAGGAAGGACAGGGCCTTTGCTGCTGACGGGCATTTGGAAAGCCTCACAAGGTCTTGGCTTTTTGTGCTCTGGGCGGCTTCCTCTGTGTTTGCAGGAGATCGGAACTCTCTGCCCCCCACAGGAGAGGTCCCTCCGTTGGCATGTGTGCTCCTCTTGGGCGGAACTCTTCTTTCCAGTGCCAGGCATATTTGCCAAGGACCTTTTCAAGAATCTTGCTACATCATTTCTGGAATCAAGATTCTGCTTTGGGGAATAATTTCACCAAATTGGGATGGTGGGGAAGGGAGGGGCGCAAAACGTTAACATTTCAAGTGAAGGTAGAGCCAGGGTAAGTGGATGTTCTTTGTGCTTCAGGCTCCACTGTACTCAGGCCTACACTATGAGGGCCACCACAGGAACTCGAGGTGCCCCCTGGAGGTGGAAGGGACAGGTGTTCCACCTGCAGCAAGAGCCACAGCTACACCTGTAGGCCCCCATGCTAATGGGAGGTGGCCAGACTCGACCTCACTTTGTGTGGCTCTACCTCTTGGCCCACAGAAGCAGGCAGGATGTGGCCACCCAGGAAGGTGGCTGTGGCAGGGGCTGGGGGCCCAGGGGTTGCTCGTGTGCTGCTACTTGATTTTGATGCTGCTTACACAAGCATATTCAACCTCTATGTTTAAGATACCTACAACTTTCTAAATGTATGTATGAAAATAAAACTTTAAAAAGGGCTAGTGCTGGTCCACTTCACTGTGACCTTCCTGCCTCAGGCTCTGAGTCTCTGGACCACAGGCGTGGCCACAGGGCCCAGCTGGGCCCTCTCTTGCCCGTCTCCAGGCTGCTCACAAATCCTGCAGCTCCACTTTGTCTTTGGGCTGGAGCGCTGCTGTGTCCCTCCCCTGTGTGGTCAGAGCCACAGAGTGAGTGCTCTGTCGACCCGTCAGGGTGCTGGTGGGGCCAGGGTCCCTAACTCATGCCTCTGCTCATCCCACAGCACAGCCCCTTCTTCGCTGAGCAGCTGACTGCGTTCCAGGTGTGGCTCACCATGGGTGTGGAGAACCGGAGTCCCCCTGAGCAGCTGCCCATCGTTCTACAGGTGAGTGGCTTCAGACCAGGCCCGGCTATAAGGCTTCTGATCACAGAAGCAAGCCAAAGCCCAGAGTCCCCAAGGGCTGGTTTACCTCGGCTGCCTGCGTGTCCCATGATAGCGGTTGGAACACCAGCCCTCTGTGGTGGCTGTGCTCTGGGCCAGATGGTGCATAAATCACACAGATCCAATCAGAAGACCCGGGAGCTGATTGCACATTTATTCCCAACGGGCTTTCCTAGTAAAGTCATTGAATTCCTTCCCCCACCCCCAAGTAAAGATAAATCTGAGGTGGAGTTGCCGCCCTCCCCTCCCATTGGCACTTCAGGAATTGATGAAGTGCTGGTGCCAGCAAGCTGCACTCCACCCAGGCTCCCGCAGCGCCCCCCACCCCTGCCGTGGAAGCCAAGGTGTGTGGATTAGTCCTGTGAGGAGAGGTGGATACACGGCAGATTACAGATGTGCCCCTACTTTTTTGGGGGGTACTGGGGTTGAACTCAGGGACACTTGACCCCTGAGCCACATCCCCAGCCCTATTTTGTATTTTATTCAGAGACAGGGTCTCACTGAGTTGCTTAGCACCTCGCTTTTACAGAGGCTGGCTCTGAACTCACAACCCTCCTGCCTTAGCCTCTCAAGCTGCTGGGATTACAGGCGTGGCCACCGCGCCCTGCCATGATGTGTCGCTACAGATGTTCCTGTGAACTTCTTTAGCTGGAGCAACACAGGCCCTGGAAGCCACCAGCTTTCCTTTGCCAGTGGGTCTGTCAGTGTTTTGCTATAAGAAATAGACACTTTCTGAGTGAGCCTTTGAGAGGCCAGTCACTTATACGGCCTGTGTCACACTCACAGTAGATTGTTACCCACTCAAGCAGGATATCAGATTGTTTTGGTTTATTTGTTTTTGCAATGCGGGGGGTTGAACAGAGGTGCTCTACCACTGCACTGCATCTCTATCCCTTTTTATTAATTCTGATACATAGTGTCACTAAATTTCTAAGGCTGGCTCAAACTTGAGATCCTCCTTCCTCTGCTCCTGAGTCATTGGCACTACAGGTGTGCATCACCACACCCAGTTGGGAGATGAGTTTTGGGTGTCCAGCCAGCTGATTTTTTGGTTAAAAAGATAGGATAGGGTGGGAATACTGGGATTTATCACAATAGTGATATTAGAAAGATTTCTCCAAGCTCTTGTCTCAGCATGTATCTACTGGGTCCTGGTTGGGAGAAGCTGTTCTACTCAAGGATGTAGAATTGGCTGTACCCACTCCTGTCAACACAGACACCAAGGTCTAATCACAATATTTTTTGTAATCAGGTACAGCATTTGGATCTCGGGGGAAGCTGTGGTGATTGTCTGGGGGGTTGTGCCAGCACAGGACAGGGAGGAGGTCCCTCCCGTGTCCAGGTAAATCCAAGGCCCTCGGGGTGGAAGAGCACTGTTCCCCCAGGTGGGCTTAAGTCATGGTGCCACCGCCGGGCAGGGCCATGTCATGGGCTACCTGTGCAGGGACGTCCACCTCCCTCCTTCTTACTAAAGCTGCTAACCCCACGTAATGGGCAGCATAGTCCGTCTTCACTGGACCAAAGCTTCCCTGAGTGGCTCCCACTTCTACAAGGTCATTTAAAACAGGCACGGGTTTCTCTCTGTCATGCTGTGGAATACGGCAGCCCTCCCTTCTCTCGAATCTGCTCTGCCCTGCATCAGCCAGCTTTGGGGGTTTGAGAGATTATTCACCTGGCACAAAATGCGATTTCTCCTCATCTAGGACTTTACCCTGAGAGTGCCAGCCAGTAAAAAAGAGTTGGAAGGGTCCTATGTAAATGTGGTAAAATGTAGCAATTGTCTGTTCACGCTGGCATTACCAACCAGTGGGCAACAAAGAACTGTGTGTCATGTTTCACTGTAGATATTTTTGGTGCGTTTTGTATATTATCACTGCTTTTTTTCTGATGTTATAAAAAAGAAAGCAAAAATAATTACTGTTCCCCTTTTGTGCTTTTAGATTACTTTAAGACCATCCTGGGATAGCAAGGTGACCTATAAATAAAAAAGGAAACAAATTTTCAAAACAAAACAAAAAATGCAGCAGTAACAATAACAAAACAGAGCTGGATGTCCAGTGGAGGCCAGTGTCCTCATTGAATGGGAACAGGAAGTGGCCAGTGTAGGTACCAGGCGGGCGGTAGGTGGCCATGTTGGTTGTGTTGCTCCCCGTTGCCCTTGCTCTTACTCCTGCAGTGCCGTGGGGCGATGGTGGCCCTTCCCAAAGCAGGGGCTCCATGCCAAGTGTGTGAAACCCAGTTCTTTGGGTTTGCCAAATAACCCTCTTATAAATGGCCTTCTATTGACTTTTTTTCCTAATGTTCCATTTACAATCCATGTCCCTCAGAGACAGAGAGGGCCTCTGGAGCCAACCCTGATGCCAAGAGAGGGGAAATGGCATCTCTCTGTGATAATTTAGGCATGCAGAGCAGCAGACTCTTCATCACTGGGGAAACCTTTCCCCCAGGCCCTGCCAGCCAGGATCGATGGTAAACTTTAACTAAGGAGGAAGCGAGGAAGAAGGTGGGAGCGCCCGAGGCCGGCTTCGTTCACCCAGCTGGTCACTTCCCCTTTGTTATTTGCCAGAGCCCACACCCTGTCATCTATAAATTTTCCTTTAGTGCCTTGGCAAGTTGGGCATTCTTAACTCAGGGAAGAGCTTTCTAATACAGACTACTTTTTATCAGATCCCCGCTACTTTTCCCATAAGCCAGAGCAAATTTTTTCCACCCACCCACAACTTAGAGAAATCAGCTGATGGGCATCTAGGGTCCAGTGAGAGGTTTCAAAGGCCCACAGATAATGGGTCAACATGGAAATACCACCCTTCCAGCCAGCCTCTGTCCCTTCTGTACCTTTCCAACTGCAGGTCAGCTGAGGTTGGGGAGAAAGGCATTGCTTGTTCTTGAGGGCAGTTTTCTCCCCTCATCATTGCTGACCACTTCTGCTGACCACGGTCATCTTGTGCAGAGCTCTGGAATCCCACAACATTGCAACTCCATGGTGTACTGGGTCTTCTGGCTCTGCAACCTGCTAGGGCTTACCATTCCTGTCTGCCTCCTCCCCAGGTGGCAGGTGAGCAGAGATGGCCCAGGTGAAAGAATGAAGGTCAATATTGCAGAAAAGGAGGACAGAGTGATTTCATAGGGTAAAACTTTTGTACTTCTACATGGACCTTGGAAATCAGTGTGAGCATTTCACGAGAACTCTGTTCTCAGTGTACCATTTTATTTCAAATAAATATTGGGTCTGAAAGAACAGGGTTATTAGGTGACAGCAGAGAGCGGCCTAGGGTGCTGTCATCACGCACACTCTGCACACACGTGTGCTCACATGCCTGTGCATTGACATGCGATGCGATGCCCACAGCAGTGCTGCTTCCTGGAGTCCCAGGCACACCGCCTGCCAGGCTGGGCCAGAACCTGAGCACTGACTCTGTACACCTGGCCGGTGGAGTTGGACTGCCTCAGCAAGCTCTGCTTTACCTGGCCTTCAGACAGCCACTCTTGGTCCTCAGTCTGGCTTGCCATGGAGGAGAAGAAAACCCCAGCAATGCCTCTGTTGACTGCCACCTATCTCTGTGATTTCCATACTTCCTGGGCTAGCCTAAAACAGGTACTGGGGATTAAACCCAGGGGCATTTAACCACTGGGCCACATCCCCAGCCCTTTTTCTTTTTTATTGTGAAACAAGGCCTCACTAAGTTGCTGAGGCTGGCTTTGAATTTGGGCTCCTCCTGCCTCAGGCTCCTGAGTCCCTGGGATGGGAGGCGTGGCCACCGCTTCTGGCTTGGGTTTTTTTGTTTGTTTGTTTGTTTGTTTAAAGTACAAATACAGACCAAAGGAGCCACTCTATATTTTGTAACTAATTTTGATTTCTGTTTGGATTTATTTTTTTTAAAATATATGAATCAACAGAAGAAAGAAAAGATATAATGTTTGAACAAAAAAAAAATACCATTTTTCCCAAAATTTTTCATTGATGTTTATTTCCAAATAAGCATACTTCATGCAGCACAGACTCCTGTGTTGCCCAACGACTTCAGATATCACAGCTGGCCAGAAATGGGCTGGCAAGAACTTACCATGTGCATCAGCACCTCGGGCAGCTCCTCCCAGCATAGGACACACAATGTCAAGGACCTGCCAAGTGGTCTGCCCCCTCTCCAGGCTGCCCACCTCAGACCAGCCACCTGCCCTTTCCCAGATGCCTTCATCTTTCTCAGCTTCCTGCTGGAACCCTGTAATCCCTGCACATCACCCTCCAGGATATGGCTGCAACCTTCTAGCTGGGAGGGAAACCGTTCCAAAACCCCCAACTAGCTCAGACCTCTGCTTATGTACGTGTGTTGACAGCACTGCGCACCACCCCCATTCGAAGTGAGCAAGGCTGTTAGTGCTTGTCTCCAAGGCTAAGTGACTGACTTCCAGGGATCCTAACTGTCCCTGCTCACCGCCCCACTGCCCAGCATGGTATCTGCACAAAGCAAGTGCCCTGTAACACTAACTGGATGACAGCACATCAGAGGACAGAGATGCTGTGGGTCTGAGGGACTTGGTACACATGTCCTCCAGCATAGACACCATGAAGGAAGAAATCATTATAAATGACTCAACTTGGAGCTGTCCCCTGCAGCCTCTGCCCATGCTAGTGCATGCCACATAGCTCTCACCACCTGCCAAGTGGCCAGCTGTGGACTTAAGGCAGATGTAACCCCAGAACAGTGACAGGGAGACAGTGCATATGTGGGGTTTTCAGATACCCTGTCCTGAGTGAGGAATCAGTCTCCATCAGGACCTCAGGTGTCTAACAGCTTTGTGGCACACCAAGATAAGTGTTCAAGGTAATGTATGTGCTAATGAGTCTTAAGAAGGTGAAGTAAAATGTTCCAAGTTAAAAAAATAAATATAGAATTGGAAACGTAGCACCATGTTAGAGTTCTTGACTGGCATGCATAAGGCCCTGAATCAAAGATTATTTTTTTTAAAATGTACAGAATTTTGACCTGGGTGTGGTGACACATGCCTATAACCCCAGCAACTTGGGAGGCTGAGGCAGGAGGATCTCAAGTTCAAGGCCAGCCTGAGCAACTTAACCTGTCTCAAAAAATAAAAATGGCTGGGATACAGTTCAGTGACAGAGCACTTGCCTAGCATGTGCAAAGCCTTGGGTGTCCTAGTATAAAAAAAAAAAAAAAAAGAGAGAGAGAGAGAGAAAAGTAAAACTTTGATATAACAGAAAATACATACAAAATAGATGGCAAAGGGCACTCTCTTTTCATTTACTAAGAACTGTTTATCACTAGGAAAAAGTCAAACATTTAGGACTGCAGTTATGGCTCAATGGTAGAGTGCTTTCATAGCATGTGTAAGGCACTGGGTTCAATCCCCAGCACCACATAAAAATAAATAAATAAAATAAAGGTATTGCATCCATCTACAACTTTAAAAAAAATAAATAGAAAAATAAAGGTATGCATGACTGCTTTACTAGAGAAATAACCTATGAAAGTAATTTTACTAGTTGTGAAAAATTTCAGCTTCAAAGGACAGTTTCACCTACCATATTGTCTTAGAGTAATAGCAATAATAATAATTTGGGTTAGCCTCAGCTTTAATCACTTAGTTTCATGAGGCCCTTGTGGGAGGGTGTTGTGTTGTCCTTGTTTCATAAATTGCCAAATTGGTCTCTGAGGTCAAGTGCCTTCCCAGGGCCACAGCCCCATGAGGTGGTACTGCTTGTGTGGAGGGCAGATGGCCCCCCTGGCAAGTGGTTTGGTGACACAAGTACAGAAGCTTTGACAGTGTCATTTTGCTTCTTAAGTTTATCCTAGGGGAGAAGCTCTTGTGGGTGTGCAGAGTCGTGCTGGTTAGGAGATTCATCACAGCATCATTTATAACAACATTTTATGATAATTTAAATATCTAGCAGTGGGAAATCATTTTTAGAAGCTCACGTTCGTTCATATAAACGAAATGCTGTGCTTCTGTTCCGAATGACTTGGCAAGTCATGTCCAGGGCTGTGGAGCCATGACCACAGTGTGTTCAGTTTAAGGAAGAGACATGGATATAGATATATATAACGTGTTATCCAGTTTGGGATCAGTCAGGGATGTGTGTGGGTCTAAGACAAATGTTTAGCGGTTGATAAACCACAGTGCCACCACTGAGTTACCTTTTCAAGTGCAGTTGAAGTGTTCTGCTATTTTCTACAGTGAGCATATTTCACCCATGAAGAAGAAATAGAGAGTGTTTTCTTAACCTAGGAGTGTGAATTGTGGAGGACAGAAGGAACCAGCAGACAGATGGAAAGACAGTCAGGCTCCTGCTCGGAGCCACAGTCAGAGGCAGAGGCTTCCGGGGAAACAATGGAATAGTCTTGCCGTGATGCCCTTCTGTTCTTATCTTTCCAGGTGCTGCTAAGTCAAGTGCATCGGCTGAGAGCCTTGGACTTGCTGGGAAGATTTTTGGACTTGGGTCCCTGGGCGGTAAGCCTGGTGCGTGCTGACTGCCTTCCTTGGGCCCAGGGCTGGGGGAGGGTGGAGATCAGCTTCCACGTGACAGTCTGAACTTAGCCAGTGTTCTGGAAGGTGCCCCAGCCACATGATTTAGAGTGCATGTCCTCTGCGGGATGTCCAGGAAATCCCGAGGCCTTGGAGACCACCTCCCGTTCCTGCACAGCTTTTAGCAGCACCATGTTGGGTCTTTTGTTTCTGCTTTGCCCTTGTTCCCATCTGATGTTAGACTCAGTGCTGAGGGAGGAAGTGTTGCTGGCGGGGCACTTCTCAGGAGGCCTGCCTGCCATTGCCAAGAGGCAGGGAGCCACAGAGCCGCACGCATCCCTCTCAGGAAGTCTCTGAATGCTCATCACTGCCTTTTCATATTATTTTAGGCACAGTTCTGAAGTGCTTTTCTGGTTACTTATTCTATAGCAGAGTAGAAATGGCCATTTAAAGCAGAAGAGATTGGCATGAATAGAATTAAGAAATGATCTGTTTTTGGTTTTCTTTTTCAACAAATATATCACAAGGAAAATTGGGGAAATTTTTACATTAAAAGAGATTCAACATGTATACTAAAAAGAACAAATTTAAAAATATGTAATGAAGAGAGATTCAAGAGACCTATCACCCAAGTTGGGCACCGTGGCACACACTTGTAATACCAGAGATTCCTCAGGCTGAGGCAGGAGGATTGCAAGTTCATGGCTAGCCTGGGAAATTTAGGTCCTATCCCAAAATAAAAAGGGTTGCAGATATAGCTCAGTGCTAAAGTGCTCCTGGGTTCCCCAGTACCCGAAACAGGGACCTAGGAGACATTTGCAATATGTACGTAGATCTTATTTGGTTCTGTTTGCAAATAAAATTTTAAAAGTTGAAGTTTGAAAATTTATATTCAGTGAACAATTAGAAATTGAACTGACCCGAGGATGTAGCTCAGTGGTAGAGCACTTGCCTAGAACGCACAAGGCACTGCATTTGATCCCAGCACTGCAAAAGAAATAAATAAATAAACACTGGGTGTTGCACATTATTAAAGAGCAGCTGTCCATTTTGAGTGACATACTGAGTGCTCACAAGTGCAGCCGTGTTGTGTCCGGCCTGCTTGAGAGCACTGCAAGAGGGGAGCAGGTGGGCAGAGGGAGCCAGGGCACTGGGCGGGCACACCAGGCTGCCTGCTGAGGTCCACTTCAGGGATTTCCCTAATTGGGTACTGCCAATACAGTGTCATCAGTCAGCCGCCATGGAGGAGGAGAGAGGGAGTCTACCAGTAGGAAGAATAACTAAGTGTGCACTCTTCCAGCACGTTGCTCCCTGGAGATGGCCGTCTCTAGGTCAGTCCTGGTCAAGGCTAGAAGTACTGACACCTTCTAGGAATAAAATCAGAGACGGGTCTACCTACAGGTGAGGTAGGCTTTAAGTGAGGTCTTTTGTTTCTGTCGCATTGGCCCGTGTGCTGAGGTATTGTCCCAGGGCTGTAGCCCATGAAGTCAGGCAGGGCCTCACCAACTGTCCTTCCCGCCCCAGGCCCTGTCAGTGGGCATCTTCCCATACGTGCTGAAGCTGCTCCAGAGCTCAGCCCGAGAGCTGCGGCCACTGCTCGTCTTCATCTGGGCCAAGATCCTCGCCGTGGACAGCGTGAGTGACTTCTGTCTGTCCTTTGGTGGGCATGGAAACAAGGCCCTGAGTGTGGACCCCAGGCCACTCACCCTGAATGACAGTGGCCAATGAGCCTGGGCTGGGGCTGGCCCTCTTGCTGCACTTCCTGTCCCACGTCCTACCCTACATGGCATCTAGCAGCTGGTCTCTGTCACCCCCGCCATCAGCTTACCTGTCCTGCTTCCCTTAGCACCTGTGCTTTGTCCTCCCACCCCCACCTGTCCTCAAGGCCATTCTCTGTGCCCCTGATGAAAGCTGGGTGCACCTCACCGGCCTTAGCAGCCTGTCCCACCAGGGCTGTTTTCCACTTCAACGTACAAGTGCTGGCCGAGGCCCCAGCTGCTACCACGGCTCTCAGCGTGGTCCTGGCAGAGGTCCCCGTCGAGGGCCCTTCTCCACTTGCAGCTGCCTTCCTCTGCTCTCTTCACATTGTCCCTGCTCCTCATTCTTGCTGGCCGGGCGGTCTCTTGTTCTCTCCACAGAGACCTGGCCAGGGCCCCTTACTCAGAACTCCATGCCAATCTGTAGGTGACACAGAGGTCTGCTGTCCCATAGGCTCAGTCCTGTGGATCAAGTCACATCACACAGGAGGTTTCAGAAGGAGGAGGGCTGAGTGATCCTATGGGTGGGGCTGCACATGTACCAATTTCAACCAATTTCAAGGGCATGTAGGATAGACTGAGGGGTGCGAGGAGGCGGAGGGCCGGAGGATGGAGAGTCAGCTCCAGCACGGGACTGCGACGGGCAGGAGCTCTGGCAGCGACAGGCTGGAGACAGGAGGAAGCCTGCAGCTGGAGTGACGGGTCTGCTGTGTTACCAGGCTGTGGGGACTGACGATTTGGGAACAAAAAAACCCATAAAAACCAAGTCCTGGTTGAAAAAAAACTGCCTGGCCTCGGTGTAGAGTCAGTTGCTATGTAGAGATGGAAGGGGAGGGCAGCTCTGTCCCGAAGGGCGTGAGGGTGGCCAGGTGGCCCTGGGCCGCTGTTGGGGCTGGAGCCAGCGTGGCAGAGGCAGCAGCTCATTCAGACCCCAGTAGCAGCCTGCGGGCGAAGGCTGTCTAGGAAAGAGGCTGTGGAGGGTTGGGATTCCATTGGTGGTAGCCGTGAGGCCCTGGAAGGGATTGTGCGTGCAGGTTCTGAGGCTGAGCTGCTGTCCTGGGGAGCCAAGAAAGAAGCACAGGCATGGAGAGGAGAAAGGTGGGAGGGCCTTGGCATCCAGGAGGTTCCAGAGTGACGGGTGTGCTGGGCACGGGAGGGGTGTCACCCTCTGCAGGGTTTGAGGGACGAAGACGTCCCGGAAGCAGCCTCCGTGCTGGCCGTCTGCCTTCCAGGCAGCATGGGGTTCTGAGTTGGGCTGGAGCTGCCATGGCACAGAGCCTGCGGGAGAGTGGAATTGGGCTGAGGTTGGCTGGCCCGAGGGGCTATGGGGGCGGACAAGGCGGCTGGCTTTGCTCTTTTTTTTTTTTTTTTTTAGCACAAACACATTTATTTACTAACCAAAGGGATGATCTTAGTTAAACTAACACTTTGAAATAGTTGCATGTAAAATGTTTGTGATAGAGATAATTGAACACAGTAATGAAAAAAAAAAGAGTCTGGAGATTGGCTCACTGAACTGAGCTTCTTCATTCTTTCAGCTAATTCCTGTCCAAAGTGATGATGGGATTTTTATTCTACTTTCTCATAGACTCGAGTACAGGTAACATTATTCACGACACACTCCACCACTAACTTCCCATCTTTCAATTTTCTTGTTATTGTGCTTTCCTTCCCATCCCATTCCTGATGCTGAACCAATGCATCATCAACAAAGCTGCAGACCGTCTGAGTTTTTCTGCCATCAGCTGTAGTTTCTTCAAACTTCTCTCCCAGGGTACAAGAAAACTGTGTTGTTTTCAAAGTGCTTTCAGTTTTTATGTTGAGCTTCTGGCCGTCAAGAGTGAGGATACAATCTGGTTTGGCCATTGCGCCCATTTTCCTCATAGTCAGTCCCACTCCTAGTTCGTTCATGTAGTCATCAAAGCCTTTGCTGTCCACCAGGCGCCATCTTCCTTCCAGCTGCTGAACAGTGGCCATGGTGGGCGCGGGCGGGCTGGTGTACGTGGCGAGGGGAGCTGCTGGGAGGCGGATAGCGTGCTCTGGCTTTGCTCTTTAATGTGTGTTCAAAGCAGTAGTCCAAACAGTGTCCAGTTGAAGAACCAGGTCCACATTCCCAGCTGGACCTCAGTGGCCTCTGCGTGTGGCTATGTGTGGGTGACACCTGCAGTAGGACTTCCAGCTGAAAGCGTTCCTGCCTCAGCCCCATGGAGCAAGTGGGCACTTGTGGCATAGTCATGGATAAGCAGGCACTCACAGGAGAGGCCCCGAGGCCCAGGGCTGCGCACGACCAGTGGCTGAGCTTGGCCCTGAGGCTTCGTGTGGAGGTGGGAAGGGGAGAACGCAGAAGCACCAGCTCAGATGGGTGGAGAGGTCGTGGTCTTGTAGCCCAGAAGGTCCTTGCCTTTCCTGGGAGGCAGAGCAGAAGGGAGTAGAGAACCCTGCAACACCGTGTGTCTCCTGCCTCCTTCTCAGGTCCCCTTCTTGCTCTCCGTGGACCCCTTGGCACCTGCTCAGCCCCTCCTCTCAGGCAGGTGTGTACCTGGCTCTGACCTGCCCATCTGCCCGTCTGCCTCATTCCATTTGCCCTCTAGTCACCAAAGCCAAGACCCAGCATCCCTCTTGGTGGCTAGGACCTGCCTGTGCTCCACCAGAATCACCCTCAGGCCACCTGTGGCCTTGGACTGGGCTCAGCTGTGCCTGCTGCACCCTGTTCTCCAAGCACTAGAGGCAGCAGAATAAATCAGCAACCACTCCAAGCCCAGTCTCTCCACCTGGGCTTTCTTCTTGAGGGTCCTGTGCAGTGGCGCCAGCAGAGCCACTAGCCTGCCCCACTCCTTGAGCCCCACCAACAAGCCTCTGGACTGGAGTCCAGCCTGGCCCTGGGGGCCCCTTGGCACCTGCTCAGACCCTCCTCTCATACAGGTGTGCCTGGAGACCCAGAGCTGGGCTGACCCCTGCTGAGGCTGTGCTGAGGGGCTTGACAGGTGGACAGTCAGGAACCCCTGCTTCTGCTGCAAGTGCTGCCTTCACTGCATGTCTGCTTGGGGCTGGGGCAGGACCTTTACTAGTGTTTCTTTATTGATCTTACACAGAAACTCTGTTGGACTCTTGATAGTTCTAATTATTTACCTGTAGGGTCTCTTGGACTTCTATGTAGACCATCATGCTGCCTGAAACACGCAGCCTGTGCCTCTCCTCCAGCTGTAGGGTCTCTTATTTTCTGGGCTAAGTGTGCCACCCCACCCCCTCCCCCCAGGACTCTGGCCCTGCTGTATTGGAGCTGTGGCACTGCGTCCTGCAAGGCTCTGGTCTTCTGAACCCCTGATGCCAGCTTGAACTTGATTCCACCCTGACTGTTGCTGGGCCCCATGCTGTTTGCCTGGCTCTGACCAGTGAATGCTTCTGTTTGTTCTATAATAACCAGAATAGTGAATATTTACATAATAAATAGAATCTTGTGTTTCAACAAAATATTTACCTTCATGTTCATTAAACTAACTTCCAATGCTTTAGGAGATGGGCAACAACACTGGGCTTAGGAGTCGAGCACTGGACTTGAGCCCCATTTGCTCCAGCAGGCCTTTCTCTCCCACTGAGCCGCCCTCCACCTGGGTCCTGGCTGTGATGCTCACACCGCCCTTCTCCTGCAGCCAGGTTTCCACCACCATCACCATGGGAAGCTGTTCTTGAGTGACAGCCAATAGGGACCTTCAGGGAACAGCCCAACTCTGTTATGGAGCTATCCTTTCTGATCATTCTCCCGGCCCTCCTTTCACATTCACAGAAGAGCCCGGTCACGCAAACAGAGGGCTTTCCTCGGGACATTGTGTTGGAGCTGTTTCTTTCCTACCCCCTTATCTTTGTCTTCTGTGTTGGCACTTTTAGAAATTTATTGGCACCATTACTTGTTACCTGGCCCTGATACCACGTGGGAAGGCTGCTGGGTACGTGAAGCAAAGAGCCCACCATGGAGCAAAGCCCAGGGAGAGAGGAGGGCAGAAAAGGCCCCCACTGTGATAGCGACATGTGGCTGAGGACACTGAGCTTGGCCCACCTCCAGGCCTGCCAGTGCGGCATGCAACATTTAAGCCAGCTTTGATTCCCATGCAGTCTCTAGTACCTGTTAGTGCCTAGAAGGAGGCTATATCTTTGTCATTTTGGGAGTGTCTGTGTCTGCGTCTGAAGACAGGTGGCCTGTCGTAACTGCGCTTTACAGTTGTGTTGTCCCCGAGTTTGCAACTGACTGTCCTGTCACAGTGTGCAGGGAATGGAGTCTGAAATTGCCTCTCATTCCCATGTGGCTTGCATGGGCTCATGGACAGAGCTGGCCGCCAGCTCAAGCCACAATGCTTCTCTGAAGGAGCAGGGCTGGTGGTTCTTGTCGACAGCTGCTGAAGGAATTATCCTGTGCACCATGCTGCCCATGGTGCAGCCAGAAACACCCTCCCTGCTATGTTTTGCAGTGCCTGTAGGCTCCAAGCCCAGCGTGCAAACCGATGTGTTCACCAGCTGTTGCACCTGCTCATGTAATAGTGATTTCCCACTGAGGGGCCTTTTGAAACGTTTCTGTTTGAAACTGAGTGTCGTCCTTCTTCTTGGTAATTGCCCTGGTCATAGTCCCCAGAGATTAAAGTTCAGTGTGGATTTCAGCAGTTGCTTCTCCTCTTCTCACCTCTGGCAGGGCTGTGTAGCTGGCCTGCTCAGTTCTCCCTGCCAAGTTCAGTGGCCCCCGAGTGACTTGAGTTTGCTCTCATGTGAATTGGAGGCATGTGAGGTCAAGGAGGCTGTCAGACCCCAGTGTTCTGAGCAAGCCCTGTGCTGGAGCCAGCCAGTCCCCCTGGCATACTCTGGGAGTCTGAGAAGCTCAGGCCCCTGCAGGCTGGACCGACTGGTGTCTGAGGGCTGCTGTCCACCATCTTGCTCAAGGCTCTTAGAGAACTCATGCTGTGGGTGGCAAGTATCTAGGTCCTCCAGAAGTGACTGTGGGAAGAAGCAAAGAGGCCCTGAGGAAGAGGAACAGGCTGGACAGAACCACACACTCTTTGGTCAGTGGGGCAGCATGTATTGGTAGACACTGATCTGACACAGTGAGGCCCGGGGCAAGGAGAGCCTCTTCCAAGCCCTGAATTCTCCAAGGAATCCTATCCCAGAGTGTCTTCCAAAGTCACTCCCTGCTTCATGTCTCACCACCAGACAGGGGGAGTCAAGAAGCAGTTCCATAATGAGGAGCAGGGAGTTAGCATGCCATCATGTCCCCAGCTGCCGGTGTTGGGCTTGGCAGGCAAGAACTTCCAGATGTCGTTGCATGTCTGCTGTGCATATTCAAAAGGCTTGTGACAGAGCTATAGAAAGCACCCAGCTCACTCGTAGACATGGAAATGGCAGTCTGTGACGTGAAGGACAAACCCCTCAGGGTCAACAATGGATGGCACGTCACAGGAGAAAGTATCAGTAAAAACCACCCAAATAGAAGCATGGTGAGAAGAGAGTTGAGAATCCGAGGCACGTCATCGAGTCACGAGGAAACCGCCGGAGATGTGACACAGTCAGAAGCAGTGCTGAAAGAAGTAATGGCTGGACACGTGGCCTGGCAGTAGAGCAGCCCGGGCTCAATCCCAGAAAAGAGAGAGGAGGGAGAGAGGCAGGCTAAGGGTTTTTCAAATTTGAGGAAAACTGTTAGCCCACAGGTCCAGGAAGCTCAGTAAACCACGAACCCAGGAAACGTGAAGAGAACTGCATCATATACTTCATAGCTGGTGTTAAATTTAAAAACCCAAAAAGCAGTCAGTAAAGAAAGTGGGGGGATAAAGATAAGGACATCAACAGATTTCTACCAGAATCAATGGGAAAACCCATGGGGGAGCAACATCTTTTTTTGTTTTGTTTTTTGGTGCTGGGGATTGAACCCAGGGCCTTGTGCATGCAAGGCAAGCGCTCTACCAGCTGAGCTATGTCCCAGCCCTGGAGCAACATCTTTGAAGCACTGAAAGGAAGAACTGTCAACCTACAGTTCTGTACCAGTGAAAGTATCTTTCAAAGATGGAGAAAAACAGACTTTTAGCTGGGTGCAGTGGCACACACCTGCAATCACAGTGACCCGGGAGGCTAAGGCAGGAGGAGGACAGGTTCAGAGCCAGCCTCAGCAACTTAGCAAGACGCTGTCTCAAAACAAAAAGGGCTGAAGGTCATCGAGTCACGTGGCTCACTAGTGGAGCACCCTGGGTTCAATCCCAATACTCTCTCCCCTCTAAAAAAAGATTTTTAAATAAAATATATAGACAGAGCAAAATTTTCACTGAAGACCTACACTACTGCCAGGTTGGATAGAGCCCTTTAAGACATGATTGATTGAACAACAGTAACAGCAGAGCACTGTGCAGTTTATAACTGTAACAGCAGAAGGTTAGGAGGAGAGGGGACAAAGGGGTCCTGTCTTTCAGCTTTTTACTTGGTTCTTTTACTTGGTGGTCTGATGTCACCTGGAGGCAAGTTTTGAGAGTTAGGAATGGAGTCTAGGCTGGGGGCAGCTCAGTGGAACAGCACTTGCTCCTGTGCAGGGCACCTAGTTCCTTTACAAAGAACAAGATTCAGCCGTGATCTTGCTCCTACCAGAGCTGAGGAAGAACCAGCTGGCAGTGAGGGAGAGGATTCGAAGTCCTGCCCGTGAACTCACACCAGAGAAGGAAGGAAGACGGGGAGAACAAGACTAGACGTGGCACCTGAGAGAAGTAAGAGGGTAGGTGTGAGGCTGTCACACGAGCAGCCTTGGTGGAGAAGTCGAGGGACCGTCACTGAAAGGACAGGGCGGAAAAGCTGTACGCTGCCCACCGAAACCGCACTTTCACACAGCAGTTAAGTAAAGAGACGCAAGTGAGTTAAAAGTAAGGGGTGGGACAGCTCTTGTCCTCCACCACTAGGCTCAGGAGGGCCGCAGTGCCCTGCGATGGCCAAGGGCATTTCAGGGTGAAAAGGAGCCC